TTCCTTCCTTCCTTCCTTCCAGCCTCTTCTGCCTTTTGGCTGCTGGAATTTCTGGAATCCTTCGGCCTCCCCTGGGATGGCTGGAGGTGGAGAGCAGAGCAGAGCAGGGCCTGCCTTTCTCTCACACACACACACATTGTCGGGGAGGGAGAGAGACGATGCCTCGGTCTCTCTCCCCGCTCTCCTCTCTTTGAAATAAGCCCAGCGGGGGCATCCCTGGGATCTCACCTGCATTGGGTTCCCAGCAGACGTGCCTGGCACATTCAGGCGTGGCCTTGTACGGTGGCGTCCCCAGTGGCGCTCCCCCCCCCCGTATCCCAATTCCAACCCAGCACGATCATCTTATTTCCATTCCCTCTCGCCTTCCAAATGTTTAGGGCCAGGTCCCCCAAACGAGTGCCTTCTGGCTGCCCTTCCGCCACTTCTGGGAGACGGAAAGAGAGCTTAAAGAGGTGAACTTCTGAACTCCCTTTTCCACAAACGCCCACAGCCAGCCTGGCCGTTTGGCGCTGGAAGTCAGAAGCCTTTAGAGGCAAATGCTAATCGAGCAGAGGAGCCTGTGTGTGCTTTCCTCTGGGGGTGAAAGAACCTTTCTCATCCCAAATCCCATACGGAGGTCTCCAATAGGGCTGGCGTAGGGATTTTGGAATCTGTACATTAACATTAACTGTGGGTCTTAATGATGGCAATTTTAATTGTATTTTTTAATTGTACTAAATCCCATACGGAGGTCTCCAATAAGGCTGGCGTAGGGATTTTGGAATCTGTAGTCCTTTTCCTCAGCCCTAAGCAAAATGCCGCTTGATGCTGTTTTCGGAATGAGATGAGGGCCACAATCCCTGCTCTTCTCTCCCACACCGTCTTGGGGGGGGGAGGGGAGAATGCCGGGCAATGTAATCCTGCGTTTCTTGGGTACCAGCTCCAGGAAGGCTGGTTCAGGTGGAGGCGGTGTGGGGGGTGCCCTGTGTGTGGCTGAGCCTTTCCTCCCTTGCAGAACTACCTGGGCTGCATCATCAGTTGCGAGAAGCTGCCGCTCAAGCCAGATCAAGTCAGCGCCTTGTTTTGCAACATCGAAGACATCTACGAGTTCAACAGGTGAGGCGTCAGAGGGGGGGCTCGTGAGAAAGCACGACAGGGGCGTCGGATCCATCGGAAAGAGGCTCTTGGCACAAGAGTAACTGAATGGCAGCACTCACTGGCACTTTGAGCAGGGTGTGGGGAGGTGATGCCCTTGTACTACGAGGCCCATCATCCCCCAGCCAGCAGGCAATCATGGGGACTGAATGGCACGTAAGCCCTTTTTTAAAAACACAGGATGGAGCTCTGCCTGGCCCGGGGGGGGGGGAGGCATGGAGAAGTTCCTTTTTTTAGAGGGCAGCTCTCAGGCGCCCCCAGCTGGCAGGGCCGCAGACGGTGCCCTCTCAGGAATTCCGGGAGCCCTCATCCAGAAAACGGATACATCTCTTAATGACTTGTCCAGACCACAGGGTGGCTCCAGGTTCTTCTGGGCATGCAGTTCAAAAAAAAAAGCACACCTCTGTTTTCTGATCGATCATCAGCTGGGGCCACTGCCTAGGGCGGGGGCAGCCTAAGGTGGGGGGGGGGGTTGGAATCCACTTGTGTGTCCAAGGCTAGAGGCGACTTGCCGGCCAGATTCTCACCAGCTTTGTGGAGCGTAAGCAGGGAATGCCTGAGCCAGCTTGATCTCTCTTCCTCCTTGTCTGCCCCACTTCCTCCGGTCAGGACAAAGGTCATGCACCACATCAAGCCACTGACCACTGGCCTTGTACCACGGCTTTTTCCCCCAGGAGGGCTTTGGCTGTTGAATCAATGAGGCTGATGCATCTGCTGAGTTGTCCTTTACCAGTTGGGCCGATGGGTCTCCTCTGGTCCGGAGAAACAAATCCTATAAAGGCTGCTGTCTAAGATGGTGCCCCCCTGGGTGCATTGGAATGTGCTGGCTTGGGGGTTATGGGAGTTGTAGTCCAGTAACTGGTGAGCTGGCAGGGGAGGGCTGAACCCCAGAGTGACATAGTCGAATCGTGGGGATGTAGCCAAACCCCCTCCCACCCGTCCTTGTACAAGCCCACTCGTTGGGCCGTGGCCCCGATGTCAATGGGTCCAGGGACCAGCTCTAAAACTGTAGAACCAGACGGTTGTGGGGAAGGATGGAGAAGGGGGGCCCACCCACAGATCTTCGAGCCTCCCAGCCAAACCTCTCTGTTGGGTCTTCTGCTCTTTAGCCACAGAGTCCCGTCCGTTTTTTCTTGGGCTGGCTCTGAATGATCTGGGCTCTGTTTTCCCAGCCACTGATGGAGAGTCACAGAGGATGCAGACTTTCTGGGAGAGGAAATGCTTTTAGCCTTGGAATTTGCTGAAGCTGTAATTTGAGACGGCTTTGAGTGTGAGGGGCTTCAAAGGGGGAGGCCTGGCCGGTGGGGGGTGGGGAAGATGGAGGTCTGAGGCAAAGGGGGGAGGCGAGTTGGAGGAGGAGGAGGAGGAGGAGGAGGGAGGAGGGCCGAAGACGACGTCTGCTCAGGAAAGATAAAACCTCTCTTGCTGAGACCAAAGGCCCCTCGGAGCGCCGCACACCCGCCCTCGTCGTCACGGGTGATTCGTGTGATTTTGAGCAAAACGTGGGCAGTTTGTCTGCACAAGGTTGTTCCTGACAGACTCCAGACGTTCCTCCCCCCCCGCCCCCATCTTGCCAGGAAGGGGAAGGAGGCTGCGCTTCCTCGTGTGCCCTCATGAGAGAGACGATGGTCTGCCCCCTTGTTCTGCAGGGCCTGTCTTCATGGGTGCCCTTTATTTGACTGGTTGCCCATCACCAGGGCCTCCCTAGTGACAGCCCCCCCCCTTTAACCTGTGAGTCCCGCACACGAAGTCTTGAGCCTGCCAGGTCTGAGAAGGTGGGGCTCTTGCGGACAGTCACGAAGCGGGGGGGGGGCTCCGTTTAAGCAGAGGGAGGCCAGACCGTCCTCTGATGTTTCAGGAATCGCAAAATGACACAACACTGAAAACTCATTTGGCAGCCCTCAGGAGAATCCAGCCTCCTCCTTGCTAGAGGCCCGTTCCTCTTTTCCTGGCCCAGGTGTCCAGGTATCGCTGCATACCTTGCTTGTAATGTATGAAACGGGGGGGGGGAGGAGAGAGAAGGGGAGCAGCTGCTCCTCTTCTAGCAAAATGTCCCTGGCGGTGCCTCCAAGGAGCCCTCCTTCCTCACAGCTGAGGACAAGAGGAACACTCGGAGATTGAGGATGGGTTGGCTAGGCGGAGTGGAGACGGAGCCCCTGCACCTCCCTCTTAGAATGGCTGCGTAGCTCTCAATGATGTCGCAAGAGGAATTTCAAGCACACAACTTGAGTGGCTTGTTTCGTTCCGTTTTCCTTTTTAAAAGTGTTAGGTTTTGTTACCTGGGAAGGAGGGTCTCTGAGAGTTACAGAAAATGATGCTCTTTAACAATGTGGAAGTGTTGTTCCCTGAGAAGGGTACCTGCCTGGTAGCCCTTCCTGCAACCTTCCCTCCTCTTCTCTTCTTTCCCCTCCGATCATCCCGTCTTCTCCTGCTCTTTCCGCTTTTTAGAAGTAGCTGTGCTGGCAACTGTGTAAAAGTGTAAACAAAAGCCAGAGGGCATGGGGAGGGGGTGGTGGAGCAGGATGGAGCCCTAAGTGGGAAATCCTGGAAGAACAGAACCCACCAGAGCCCACCCACCGGCTCCTCTTCGGTTCAGAAGGAGCCCTCCCAGCCCCTTCCCATGCAGTGTGCGCTGAGCCCTGTAGGGAGAGAACCGCCTTCCACCGTCCTTGGAACCAGCGGTGGGTGCCTTTGCCCCAGCAGTAAGGTCCTGTTCACACAGTGTGCAACTGGGGTGGTGGTGGTGGTGGTGGTGGTGGTTGTCACTGGGCTGATGAGGAAGGGGGATCAGGATGGAGCCTTGCTCGTGCCTGCGACGCCTGTTGTGTTTCTCTCCCCGAGCAGCGACCTGCTGGAAGATATGCAGCGGAACCCCTGTGCCCACGCCGTGGCCGAGTGCTTCGTCCAGCGGGTGAGCCCCTTCCTGCCTCCGGGTCCTGCGCTTTGCTCTCCCTTGCTTTCTCTCCAGCTTAATTGTACCGCAGGCTAGTCCCGTCCAAGCTGGAGGCATCCTTAGTACAAGAGGCAGGAAAGTGCCTCGAGAAGATGGTAGCCAGGGTAAGGTTAACTGGGACCCGCCACGTTTTCAGATGTGGGGTGCGTCTTGTCACAGAAGAGAAAAGAACTTCGCTCCCCTAACTGTGAAGCTTCTCACTCATCCAGGTGAGGTTTTCTTTCTCTAAGAAAGCAGTCCAGTTGCCATGACTCAACTTCCAGATCCACTCACTTAACAATCTTGTCCGGGCACGATTCAAAGCACTCATTTTAATCTCCGTTTGGGGAAGTTACTGTAGGACTCTCTCACACCCGGCCTCCCAGTGCTGCCAGCCTGGCTCTGCAGAGCAGAACGAGCTCTTTTCCAGGCCCTTCAGCCGAGGCGGCTCTGCAGCTAAGATCTCTCAATCTCAGTGGATCCCAGGTTTCCAGATCTTCTGAATCTGGGGTCCATTGCGACAGAAAAAGAACCCAAACGTTGTTTTTCCGTAGTAGGTTTTTAAAAAAAAAGGTTTACAGACATTCTGTCATTATATTTATCATTTAGGATACATTTGAAAGAAACAAAAATAGTGATTTCCTCAGTTGTTGCAAATTGTACCCTCTGGTTCCCAGGGATTGAAGACCATTGTTTGAGTTGGCCACCCTCCCTCTTATGGAGCTGCCCTTCTGGGGAAGGAACACACCGCCTGGGTGCTGCTTGAGCCGGGATCCAGCCAGCCAAGCCCTTTGCACTACCTTTGGGAGCGGGCATTGCATCTCTGCCCGTCAGGCATTAGGAAGAGCACCAAGGCAGCCTTCAAGCCATTAGGGGGGGGGGGAATCAAACAACCTGTATGCACTTCAGTGCACTTAATTGTCGTTCAATTAAATCCTGCAGAGTGAAGAATTCGATCTCTACACCTTGTACTGCATGAACTACCCCAAGTAAGTATGAATTCCCACCCGACTCCTGCAGAACGTTCTGCTGTTTGGTCCCCTGGTTCTTCCTGCTTCTGGTCCGAGAGATGCTGGGTGGGTGGGAGCTGACATGGCTGCCTCCTCCTCCTCCTCCTTTCTCCCCTTTCCTGAATCAGCCCAAGTTCTTCTTTTCCTGATCGACTCTGCTGGGTTCAGGTGTGATGTCAGAGGAAGAGAAATCACACACACACCTGCTCCCCAATTTCTCTGGGATGCGCCTGGTTTCTTACTCCTCTGCCGTGTCTCTCTTCATTCCCCATTTTTCTCTAAGGCAAACAGCTCCAAAGGTTGTGATCTTTCCTTTGGGGGGGCTTGGGGGGAACAGATCCTGACACACACACCCCTTGATCATTCGGGTCCTCCTTCTCTGCCTAGCAGGTGTGGTCCTGAAGGCTTCAAGGGCAATAACCAGGTCTCCCTTTCCTCCTCCCCTCCCCGCCCCCCCCCCCCCAGTTTTGTCTCGGTGCTGCGGGAATGCATGGAGGACGAGGCCGTGGCCAGATTCTTCCGGGAGAGACAAGCCACCCTCTCGCACTTCCTGCCCTTGGAGACCTACCTCCTCAAGCCTGTCCAGCGCATCCTGAAGTACCACCTGCTGCTCCAGGTGGGCGATTCTGCTCCCTTGGTTTTGGGCAGGCTGGTGCTTGGTGGCCTTGTGCTCCAGGGAAGAGGGAGGAGAAGAGCCCGGATGGGAGCTGGGCCGGTGTGTGTGTGTGTGTGTGTGTGGATGGGATGCCCGACAACTGTGGATGGCTTCTTCCCTTCCCCCTCCCCCAGGCTGTGAATCTCCTCTCCTCTCCTCTCCAGGAACTGGTGAAACATTACGAGAAGAGCCGTCCAGGTTATGACACGGTCGAAGAGGCTAGCATCACCATGACAGCTGTGGCTTGGTACATCAACGACATGAAGCGCAAGCAGGAGCACGCCACTCGGCTGCAGGTGGGGCTGTGGCCGGGGATGGTTGGGCTGGAAGAAAGCAGTGGGGTCACTCGAATGTATGCCTTGCACGTCTTATGCAGACAGTGACCAGTTGGCTGGCTGGCTGGCTTTGCATGACTTCCTCTGCTACTGCTAATCTGGAGAATGAGGAAAGAGCCGAATGGCCACCAGTCAAATATCCTTTGACTAAACAGACCCCCATAGTCCTTACACATCATGGCATCCATGAGGGCTAGGAACTTGCTAGCCCAATTGTGAACTCTTGACCACTACTTTGGATGTGAGCTCCTTCTGCCTGGATCCTGCACTTCTCTATATTGGGGCTGGTTGGAGTTCTTGGGATTTGAACAGTGTTTCTTTATATTGGGATCTGGAAAACTGAGGTTTTTATCCTGGACTAGAGGGCTAAGGTTCCTGGTTGACTTGCTTCATGGATCGCCCCCAGTTTGTCCTCACCTTTCAACCAGCCTCTCTCTCTCTCCCCCCCCTCTCTCTCCCGGTTTGTCCTCGCCTTTCAACCAGCCTCTCTCTCTCTCTCTCTCGCCTCTTCCAGGAAATCCAGGGTCTCCTGGTGGGCTGGAATGGTCCAGAGCTGGGGGCGTTTGGCGAGCTGATCCTCGAGGGGCAGTTCCGGGTGCCTCGTGCACGGAAGGAGAGGGTCTTCTTCCTCCTCAGCAAGGTCCTCCTGATCACCAAGAGGCGCGGCGAAGCCTTCATCTACAAGAGCCACATCTTTGTAAGCGGGGCTTGGTGGGGGCGGAGGTGGGGAGAGGACCCATGGCTGCCTGGATTCCGATGGCCCACGTCCAGGACACCTGGAAAGCAAGGGATGGCGAAGGGTGGGGGAAAAGTCCACACAGCAGCTTTGCCATCGGCCACCGATTCTGCCCTTCCCAAAGTCACGGTTCAGGCATGGCCTCTGCCTAGTTTTTTCTAAAGTTATATTCCAGGTTCAGAGCTGGAGGACAGGAAAGGGGAATCTGTCTTCAAGAGAGGGACGGTGGGGCCCCCAGACTGGCTGAGCCCCTTCCTCTCTGGGTCAGCCGGTCTGGTCCTCCTTCTCTCCCCCCAGTGCTGCAACCTGGCCCTGCAGGAGAACACCAAGGAGGCCACGAGCTTCAAGATCTCTGACCTGTCCATCCCTAAACAGCAGCACGTGGTCCAGGTAAGCTGCTCTGCCGGCGGGTAGGGCAAGGGACACAAATGAAGGGGGGCCCCCCCACTCTCTCTCTCTCTCACACACACACACACACACACGCACACACACATATATATCTCTCCTGGCCAGCACAGGCTGGGGGATTCTGAGGGTGTGATCCAAAAGCATAATTTTTTCATAGCAATTATTTTCTCTTCTTCTAAAAAGCTACTGTGATTTCCAGCATTTCCCTTGGTAGCCAGCAGAGGGAGCTGTACCTGCCCCATAAACTGTGAAGGAAAAGAAAAAGAAAGGGTGGCTTAACAGGTGGCAGCATAAAAAGAAACAAGCACGGCATAAGAATGTGGCAGGGAAGGGGGGTGTATATCGAGGAATGGCCGGGCAATGCGGACTCAGGAGACCTTGGCTGTTCTCCTCAGCCAGGGGATTCTTCTCTCCTCTTTGGCAGGTGAAGAACCAGGAAGAGAAACGCCTGTGGATCCATTACCTGAAGCGTTTGATTGTGGAAAATCACCCGGCGTCCATTCCTCAGAAGGTGAGAGAGGGGCGGAGGCGGCAGAGGGTATGGCCTGTGGGTTGGAGAGGGCTGAACTGGGGCCGGATCCTGCAAAGGTGTCCCCTAGGGAGCCTGGAGAGAGGAGGGGGATCTCTGGATCTGCTCAGAGAGCGGGCGAAGGCTCTTGCAGCGCAGCCCTGGTCGTTCAGCGAAAAGCCAGGACTTTGCTCTCCTCCGACCATTCTCTGGTTCTTCCAAGAGGACCCCAAACACGAAGGCAGCCATGTGGGTCCAGAAGAGCAAAACGATGCCTTGACGATGGACCAGCAACGATTCCGCACGAGGACGCGAGCTCTGTCGCCAAGGGGAAACCGTAAACATTTTCCCCTTTCAGATTAGTCACAAACAACGTGTTCAGTTAAATACAAGTATCTTTGGAAAAGGTGTGATCAGTGGGAAAATGCGTTTAAACCACCCGTGGGGCTGAAATGACCCTTACAAATGCATACAGGAGGACAAAGGTGAACCAAGATATTTGCACGGTTCGAGGCAGGAACAAAAACGTCCAGCAGCTATAGAGCAGCTGCCTGGTTTCAGTTTTCTATCCATGTTCTCAGGCCAACTGCACTCTGCTTGTTCTCAGAGGTCCCCCTTCTCAGCACAGCAACCTTTGCAGGTGGAGCAGCCCCTGGCCCGTGGCTGACACTCTTTCCCTGCTGCTTTTTTTGTTACAGGCCAAGCAGGTCCTGCTGGAGAACAGCTTCCAGGGTAGGTTTCCACAGGGAACCCCTTTGGGACCCAACCGTGTCTGCCTTCTAGAGCTTCAGCGCCACTTGGTGCCACGTTGGCTGCCCCCAGCACCATCCTGCAGCACCCATAGTTTTTTTGGGGGGGTTGGCATTCTCCATTGCTGTTAAAGGGAGGGCATGAGAGCAATTCAAAGCCCCTGGCCAGGCTACAAACGCCAGGATCCTGTGGGGTGCTGCTGCAGTGACCGTTAAAGCAGGACCCCAAGGGCTGTGACCCCCCTGCTGAGAATCCTCTCTCGGTGCCCGCCGTTCCACCCTCACCCCGCGGCCTGATCCCAGGGCTAGGCTGCTGCTGCTGCTACTCCCGAGCAACTTTGGTTCATGGTCTCCGTGCGTGTGTTTGTTGCTCTTCCGGGCAGGTTCTCCTGGGGTCCTCTCCAGCGCTGAGTCTCCCAAGAAGCCCCTGCCTTCCCCGTGGCTGGATGAGTCCCTGGCATGCGCTCGCAGCAGGCGGCAGTCGGGTGAGGAAAGGCCGGGCTGCGTTTGAAATGGGTTAGAGCGGGAAGGCTGGAGGAGGAGGAGAACGCGTGTTTGCCGTGAGAGCTAAAGGAGGCCCCGTTGTTCAGTCTGTCCCTCCTTTCCAGACGTTGAGAGAACTGTGTCTGTCCCCCCCCCCAGTGATTTCTTTCTCACGACTACTCTTGGGGGTCATCCAGGGAGCATGGCTGCTGGTCGCGCTCACTTGGGGAGGGAGTGGTTTGGAGAGCTGCACTCCCCAAATGCAAATGCTGAGCTCCTGGCAGTGGGCCGTGAATCTTCAGAGGTGGCCTGTGTGCCGTCTCTGCTCGCCTCCGAGGACTCATTACTCACCAGCGTTAACCTGGCAAGTCCTGGCCTTGCGAGGCTGCGATACAGCCCGCCTGGCATCTCCCTGCTTTCTGCTCGAGGGGCTGAAAGGGCAGCAGCTCAGTCAAGCGCCCTGGGGGACGGCAGCCTTGAACCACCACCCCCATTCCCCTTCCAGAGCCTCCGGAGTACATGTATAGCCCCGAGAGAGCCCGGAGAAGCTGCCCCATCTTAGCGCTGGAAAAAAGCACCTCGTGCCGCCGGGACCGCAGGCCATCTGGTAAGAACGTGCAGAGAATTCCAAGCGGTGCAGGGAGGATGTGGAGCACGGCCGGTTTCCGGAGATTGCCAGCTTGCGCTCCCAGGGTGCCACGACTTGGGTGAATGCCTTGGTGTGACTACAAAGCCCAGAATCCCTGGCCACCCTCCTTATACTTGACAGCACTGGGACACTCATTGGTGGGGAGCCGAGTGCTTGTGAAAAGGAGAAAAGGCCGAGGAGGGTTTGGGAAGGCTTGGGGCAGGGGCTGAGCTTTCCAGCAGAAGACAACCTTGCCTCGGGCCTAGCAAGGGCAGGCGCGTGAGCAACACAGGCCTCCGCTGCCCCATAGATCGTCCAGGCGCTCCCCTCTGGGATCCTGATTTCCTGCAGAAGCTGCTGCTTCTCGGGTGGCAGGCGCCAGGGGGCAGCATCGGATCAGAAACGGGTGGCTCCCAGCCAGCCCAGAGCCTGCCTCTCGCTTTAGGAAAGGGGGGCGGCAGCAAGACTTTTGCGTCCTGTGGGACCTTGCAAAGCAAGGGTGGAAATTGGCCCGTCCTCTTCTGCTTCCCGGAGGCAGACCTGGGGGGAGGAATACACATTTCCACAGAGCCAGAGGGAGGGAGGGAGGGAGGGAGGGAGGGGGCTGTGGCTTGGAAGCAGCACAAGGCAGCCCCCTGCATCAGGAGGGCACCCACACTGGGGGCAGCCGGGGTCGCTACTGATGCCAAGGGACCGGCTCCAGGCCCATAGAAACCTTCCGCCAGAGCAAGTCTCTTGGCTTTGGGTGGCTTTTCCCGCAAGAGAGCAGCGGGTGCCAAAAACCCCAGGCAGAGCCTCTGACTACAGCTTTTCTTTTCTCTCCCCCCCCCCCACCCACCACTATTCTGTCTGCTGCTGGGGACTTTCTCAGATGTGGCCAAGTTAAAGGTAGGTGAGGAGGGCTGCCCCGGGGGGGGGAGGGAGGGAATTTGGGGGAGACTCCCTTAGGAGGCTTCTGGTTCCTGCCTTGACTCCAGAGAGTGAAATCTATGTGTGCTTTGCAATTTATTGGGCAATTTAGAGGCAACTCGACAGCAGCCCTGGCGAAAAATAGGACATTGTTGTTACTATTCTGCAGTGTCAGGTTGCCTCTGACTTAGGAACGAGTGACCCCCAGGGTGTCCTCTAGAGAGATGGGCACGAACCACCGGTTTGGCGGTTCGGGCTGGTTCATCCCTACATTCTTCCAACAGGTGTTCCCTGGTTCTGAGCCCCGCCTCCTCCGGCGGGCTGCCGGTTCATCCCTCCATTCTTCCAACAGGTGTTCCATGGTTCTGAGCCCCGCCTCCTCCGGCGGGCGCCCAATCAGAGGCAACGCCCGGCCGGGTGCTCTGTCTGAGTGGGGACCTGCCGGAGAAGGCGGGGCTTGGAACCGCAGAACCCCGGCTGGACTCCCAGCCCAGCCCAGGGGAGCTGCCAGAGCGGCGCTTCGTGCCCGTCTCTCGTTCTCCCCTGAACTGCCCTGACTGGCTCTTGCAGGCTCAAGGCTGGGCCTCCCTTTAGGGAAACGACTCAAAACAGAGAAGGGTTTATAGGAATGGTAAAGATTTGCTACTTCTCAGATGTCAAGGATTTCAAAGGGAATGGCGGCATTGTGATGCCCTGAGCCAGTTTGAGTTTCAGCCACAGAAAAATAGCTATCGGGCACAGAAATTCTTGTTGCGTCGGGGGAGGGAGAGAACGCGCGCAGTTAGGAACTTGCAAAGTAGGTGTTTGGACGGTTCTGCTTGTTTGGGGACAACGGCCAAAATATGAGTTTGCCTGATGATACCTAAAGCGGTCACAAGCAGGGGTGCCAGGGTGAGAGTGAGCAGGGAGGACCTCCTCCCGCTAGGCTGGTGGGTCGGGTGGGAGAACCAAGCCGGACAGCCACCAGAACCGCCCAGCTTTGCGGCCACTCGGCTCAGGGCGCTCTGCCTGCTTCCTGCTCACCTCTCGGGCTGCTTAAAAAACAGCCATGTTCAGGCAGGGCCCGGGCAGGGTTTTGGCAGCCTCCGAGGCCCAGGGGACCTTGGGGGGGGGGAGACCCTGCTAGTGGGGGGGGGACACGCTGACGAGCCCCTCTTCCAGGCCCCTCAGGGAGCTCCGTTCCTGTGCCCAGTGGAATAACCTGACGGTAACGCCTCGTCTCCTCCTCCTTGCAGCACACGGACAGCGAGGGCGACCTCTATGCAGCCACTGAGCGCCCCCTTCCTTCCCGGACCCCCACGGCCATGCTGGCCTCTGGCAGGACAGAGATGGGGGCCGAAGACTCTGGCCAGGAGGAAGGGGAGGAAGGGGAGTTCCTGCTGCCCGAAGAGGCCACGGCCTCCGGCCTCTCCATCACGGAAGAGATCCTGGAGCTGCTCAGCCAACGGGGCCTTGACAAGGAGGCTGCCGGGAAGGGAAGGAGCTTCCCCCTGGAAGAAGGGGGCCAGGAGGCAAGTGGCCAGGCTCTGCAGGTGACTGGGGGGGGGGAGGAGGAAGAGGAAGAGGCTGCCACGTGGCCATTGGGGTGCCACAGTGGGGGGGGAGGAGAGTGGGTTATGTTGTGGGTGACGTTCACAACCAGAGAAACTGCCCTGTCCCTGCAAGTGGCAGAGGGAGCCGTCGTGCCCTTCTGGTCTGCTCCGGTGGGACTGCTTGCCACTGGATGAATCGCTTCACATAAAAGGAGTTAGGTGACCTCAGAGAAGGGGCCTCTGCCAGGGGAGTGTGTCCCTGTGGAGGCGGGGGGGGGTCTCTTAGCCCCGGTCCTTCTTCAAGGGGATCCTGGACACGGCAGCAGGAGCAGCAGCAAACAAGCAGCCTGCCCTCATTAGACCCCCACTAAAGGGGAAAGGTTTGCTGTTTGGACTACAACCCCCAGGACCCCCAGCCAGTATGGCCGTGTCCCCACTTCTAGGCCAGGGGCCTTCGTCATGGCCACCTGTGTTCTCTCTCGCTGTTCTCCAGGAACCGCCCTTACAAGAGAGTCCCTTGGAAGCACCGGGGAAGGAAGAGGAAGGCGCTGCAAAAGAGGGGGGGAAGGAGGAGGAGGAGGAGGAAGGCGACTCCCAGAAGGACCCCTCCTTAGGGGTCACCCCCCACGTCCTGCCCTTGCAAGCAGACGGTCTCCAGCCTGAGCCTCCTCCAGGGCTTCGCCCCCCCTTTGCCAGCGACTCTTCAGAAGAAGACGAGGAAGAGCAGCTTCTGCAGCAGGAGGGGTCGAGCGGCCCTTCTCCCCTCCACGTCTTGGAGACCTTGGCCCCAGAGGAAGGCTCTGGAAGGGCAGAAGAGCCCGGCCAGTCCACTTGGGGCATGCAGGAGGCCCCGAACCAGGAGGGGCAGCCCCCCGAGGGCACCGAGGCCTCCAGCCACTCTGCCTGCCCTCCCCAAAGCTTGCTGGCTCCGATGAGCAGAGACGAGAGGATGGAGGTCAAGGCAGAGGGTGGGGCCCAGAGGGACCTCACCTTGACCAGGAGCGACTGGCTGCTGATTGAGAAGATCAAAAACTACTACGAGGGGGTGGGGCCGGCAAGTACGGCGCCAGGGCTGGCCAAGAAGGATTGGGCCCCTCCTGTGCCCGCCGGCGTGGTGCGAGAGTCCATCCTTCACTTCAACAGCATCTGGAGGCAGAACGATGTGCAGGACTGGGAGGTGGGCGGAGCCAGAGTCAGAAAGCCCCTCCCACAGCTTGGCGCCAGCAGCCCAGGAGGAGGAGACTCTGGGAGAAGCCGGAGTCGGTCCTGCCAGGAGGAGGGGAGGGGCCTCCTGCCCATCAGCCTGGATCCTTCCAAGAGGGGGCGGAGCTGTTCTGAGAGTGGCCAATCAACAGAAAGCACTGAGCCTTCCAGATGCTGCATTGGACAGACACCCAGTGCCAGCTGTGAAAATTCCCATCAGGGGTGGAGCCCATCTGGGGACATGGAGTCGGACGCCACCCACAAGCCTTCTGTGCCTGGAAGTGGGAGTGGCTTGGAAGAGGAGGGCCCTGCAGGGTCTGAGTTCAGATCCTGCGCAGAGATCCGAAGGGCATGGCAGGAGAAGGAACGGAGTGCCATGGACTCCCCGAAGAAGGGTGGCAAAGTGCGAGTGAACAGGGAGTCTCACTCCTCCCCAGAGATGCCAGTTTACGCCGAACCTCTGTACATCGTGGAGGATTCAGACCTAGAAGATCCGCCGTCTGCCTCCAAAGGAGACCCCGAGGTCGCCGCCAAGGTCCGGATGGGAGCAAAGGGCAGGCAGGAGGCAGAGGGGGTTGCCGAGGATGCTCCCAGTCCCCTCCCCTCCTTCGACCTTTACGAGAGCAGCGGGGACCCCTGTCTTCTTGAGAACTCGGAGCGCATCCTCAGCAAAGTGCAGGCCCTGGCCAAGATGTACAGTGAGAAGATCAGCCGCCTGAAAGCACCAAAGAGGGTGACGGAGAGGAAGCCGGGGGTGCGGCCCCTGCAGCAGCGGAGGGGCCCCAGCGGGAGCCTCCTGGCTGGGGTGCAGGAGGGCAAGCCGGGATCCAGCTTCCCCCACTGTGAGTGAACCCCCTTTGTGGCACACATGCACTCTGCGCGCGTCTCTTTGGGCCGGGGGCTGAGCTGCTCGGGGGATTCGGGGAACTGCCCTCCCAGACCACAACGCCCCAGGCCCCATTGCCAGCCTCTCCCCTGGACTCTCTGACTGGCTTCTCTCTCAAAAGCGGGAAGGAATTGGGGGGGGGACCCTCCCTCTTGGATGGGTGCAGGGTTTCGTGTGAAGGAGAAGGGGAGAGAATGGCGACCGCCTGCATTTTTCTCCCTGCAGGAGAGGGAGAGCCATATTCCCCACCCTGAACTCACTTGATGAAAAGCAGGATATTAATACAGCAAACCAACAAATAAACCAGTTTGAAAGTGCACCTTCTTGTGAGCGGCAGCGGGCAGGAGCAAATCTCTTGCCTTCCTTTGCCTTTCTGTGTTTGCTCCAGGGGCATCTTAACCCTGCTCTTAAATGCAAGGGCTCCCCACAGCTTTGAGAAATTGCTTTTCAGCCAACAGTTCCCATAATCCTCCAGCCTTCAGGGACACTTGTCGTGTCGCCCGGAGGATCCCAGGAACTGGCCTTTCTGAGTTCCAAGTTCACCAAGACCCTGAGATCATCTTGGCCACCTCCTGCCTGGCCGCCACTGGAGAGCCCAAGGCAGGCCCTGCTCGTGGACGGGAGGGAGGCTGAGCCTCGTCGCCCGAACCAGTCACTTCTCCAAAATTGGAATTCGCCCCTGCATTCCCCAGCCTCTGCTCGCCTCCCTGCAACTGCCCCATGCGCACACCACATGCGCGTGAGCTGGAGCAGGTCAAGTTGTCCTTTGCTGCCCCTCTCTTCGGGGCGGGCCAGCTGGCTTCTTCAGTGGGGTGGGGGAGGGGTTTCCCTTTAAGGTCTGAAATACATCTGGAGCTTCAACCAAGCCCTTCCCCCCGCCAAACGCGCCCCCCCTCGGTCAGCTGTTTTGCTTGTTTCTTCCCCCTGCATGAGTCTGAGACACAGCATGATTTAAAAAGATGCAGTGAAGAGAGCAGTGAATGCAATTAAGCATAACTCAGTTCACCGCCACTAATAGCGTTTCCCCCCCCGCCGCCCCTCCACAGGTAAAGGGTTGCAGAGTGCACCTGGCCAGAGTTCGGACACAGGTGTGGGGATCTGGGGTTGGCCAGGATGACCTCGGGAGAACCTGCTGGTGCAGCTCCTCTGCCTTGGAAGGGGGCGGCAGGGGGGGCAGAAAGCGCCTCTCCTCCCAGGGCTGTTGAGCGAATCTGGAGCCCTGCGTTGGCTCACCTTTTGCTTTTTAATCTACAAGAGAGTGGCTCGGACCGAAACCGCCCCAGAGCCTGTGGGAAAACGACCTACAGGGTGATTTACAGTTTAATAAACGAAAGTTGCCCTGGGCTGGAAGGAAACAGTCTTTATTGCTTTTCACCAGAGCTACAGCTCAATCTATGGAGCCCCCCCCCCC